AATTTGGTCAACGTTAGCATTTATTTAACAATCCAGCGATACGAGCCCGAGCATATTTGGGTAATCCGGACGAGGGTTCAAGGATAATCGTAACAATATGAAGCATATTTAACTGATGAAAACGCAAGCATTGGATGTTTACATCAATCTCATAGTAGTCTTATTTTATTTTTGAGGCATTTCGCAGTTTTTATACGGCTAAATAGCATATAAATTACGTAATTCACGTAGATATATCAATATTACGTTCAACATTTCGTTTAAAATTCCAGATTTCCTGCAAATACATTAGAATTTACGAAAGGAATTTCACTATTAATTGCCTACTTTTAGTACTTTTCTACTACCATTTTCGCAACAAGGGATTGCATTCTTGCCCTTTCTCTGTCCTTCGTAAATGCAACCTTTTGTAAGGGAGTGTCAAACCGCAGCTGTCAATAATTATCTAACCTTGTATTATTGAATCATGACAAAACACATAATTTTGACATTAATAAGTATCGCGGCGAAAATCTTAATTCGCCAGTAAAACCACCTTGTATAAATACGCCTTGGCAGATAGACGCCGAAACAAGGCGAATTTATATAAGGTGGTGTTACTAGCTCAGCTGATTTTGTGTATGTGTTTCACCGCACGGCTTCTGATATCAAATTAAAAAATTTTGTTTGAATTTCTACACACACTGTTACAGATTTTGACAGTTTATGCCGCCAAAGCAAAAACAAAATACATGTAAATTTTTGTTTTTTTACTCCTGCTATCACCTTATATTAATTCGCCTTGCGCCGAAAAAAACAAGAATTTATCAGCTGTTTGCAGATAAGTTTTCTTGGACAAATTGCTATTAAATTTCTAATCTTTATATTTTCGGCCTGCAGTTGTTCCTAGCAGAAATATATAAAAATGGCGGATATAGATGGAGAAGATCCAAAAGAATATCGTTGGGAAACAGGATATGAGAAAACATGGTAAAATCAAATTTCAAATCATTGGATTTGCATTTCATATGCCTATTGGTTTCAT